CAGAAATGATTTCACACCACACATCATGGAGGAATGTGAACATTTCATTCAGTGTAACAGTATAACTATTAAAGCTCTTTGTTTAATCTGGAAAGCAATGTTTAAAAACGTCTCGGATCCTTCGAGGAATGATTTAAGTTCCAACTCTTAAGTTTTGCTGCAGGGTTTAAAATAACTGTAATTAAATAAATTAACCCATTTAAAAAAAAATTTTTTCCAATAAAATATAAAGTAATAATCAAAAGCAAGAGATAGTTGAAGACTGTGTATTTTAACTAAAGTGGCATAAAGACAATGTTTGGTTTGCAACCACTTAACACAATTGTTAAGTGGTGCCATTGTAAAGTGCTCAAACTTGACTTTAAAATAGCTACATCTATTGTAGCTATTTTGTAAAATCTCTCTTCATTTTATAATAAAGAAACTATTAAAAATACAAGAAAAAGAAGGCATTTCCATAAGTTATGGTTCAGTCAAATTTTACTGTCTGATTGAAAGCCCATCATTGTCTTTGCCTTTTAATGCTTCACACCACCGCTGGAAGGCAGAAAAAAGGCTGCAACTATAAAACTCTGGCGGAAAAGCAAGTGATAAAAATGAAATATGGTCCTCACAGAACTTTATAAAGGTTAGAGTCTCCTCCAGCTTTGATAGATCCATTGATCACTTTGAAATACAGCAAGTAACAACAAACAACCTAAAGCAGGGCTGTGGTCTAGATCTATTTTCTGGGTTATTTTACAGAGCCTGTTTATAAATCAAGAACAGAACCATCAACACTGTGCACAGAGTCCATAGGCGACAGATTTTTATTTCTATATTTTACTATCCTTGATTTAATCATGAGGTTTTTTGCTTTTATTTATGGGATAGACTTTAAATTATTATTATTATTATTATTTGAAGATCTTTAACTAAAGTCACTCCTGCCTGGGCTGCTATTTATGATTTTGATCGTAAAAAATGCTTAGATTCAAATAAATGTTAATACTACCACGGCTTTACCAGCATTTAATAGGGCTGTCAGGCCAGTTTTTCACCACAGAGCCAAATTAGTTTTTTCGTGCGACAGACTGGCGACCTGTCCAGGGTTTACTCTGCCTCTCGCCCGAAACGTTCGCTGGAGACCAGCACCCCTTCCGACCCCGCGAGGGACAAGGGTGTACAGAAAATGGATGGATGAAATTTGTTTTTGTTTTTCTGGCTTTTCTGAGTATCTCTTTATACAGAATTGTTTTGGCAGAATTTGCATAAAACAAAACAAAAACTCATTTTCAAGAATGAGGAGCCATTTGTTATGACTGTAGGTACATTATATATACCTATATATATATATATATATATATATATATATATATATATATATATATATATATATATATATATATATATATATATATATATATATATATATATATATATATATATGAATGATAGATTTACACAAAACATATGTATATATATGTTTTGTGTAAATTTGGACAAACTGCATTCACTGTTAAAATTCTCCATGGTACATGGTCACCTGATGACACAATGCATTTCAACACTACACAAAACTGACCACTGGAAAACACTTTTTCTAAACTGATATTGATGTAATATATTAGTGCAAACGTTTCCATTATCTTGTACTCAGAGGTTTTTTTGTTTTATCTTCAATGATCACCTGAGGAGTTTTAAATAATTGGTGACAACAACTGTCAGAAGAGGTAAAAGAAATGAACAAAACATTGTTTTTGCAATAAACGATTAAGAAATTTAACACCGGCGAAGTAGACAAATTTATACTCCAACATGCAGTCAATTAAAATGATGTAAATTTGGGTTTTTGTTGATTAGTTTGGAGTAACATGTAGGCTTAGTTCTGCACTAGTTAAGTTAGTCTGGCTGGTTCTGTGTTTTGTGTTTATCATCCTCTCTGGTCCTTCTGTAGCTTGTGAAATGTCATCATCAGTTAACACTTACGACAGCAGCATGACTTTGGTGTTGCACAGCTTAAGCTATCAGCTGTTTTCATCATCTGACAACCTTTAAATAGAAAAATATCCATTTGGCTGTTGTATGCTTTTTTCTCAAAACGTAATATATGCTGTGATGTATAGCTTATTCAGATAATAAGCTGTACAAGAACAACTATTTCTTTGATTTTGATCTAAATTTTAAAAAGACAGCAACACATTCCACCATTTTACCTTTACACTTTTTTCTATACCATATTACAAAACTATTTGCTTGACGTAGAAAACTTTAGGAGTGTGTTCCTCAGAATATTTGAAGTATCCAGAAGTGTATGTGTAAGGTCAGACACTGATGCTCAAATTAAAGCCTAAATCCTAGTCTCCGTTCCATTTAATCGTGAATCTAATCTTGGGTTGAAGGCAGGTCAATCAAGTTCTTCCACAGCTTCACTTGTTCACCCATGACTTTATAGACCTTCACTTTCTGCACTGGAACTGATACATTGCGTTGGTTTCCAGTAATGGAGTGCTTTACATCACTGTATTTGATGCTATCTATTACCCTTGGTGATGTCAGCCTTGGATTGCACATAAAAGACCATTCCACAAAGATGTCTACAAGCTGTTACTAAGCTAACTCGAAGGCATTGTGAAATCTGTAGCTATCAATTTTGCAAAAAGTTGGCAACCTGCATACATTGCACTTTAAAATTCACTAACCATGCTATGGGATTTATGTGATTTACCACTTTCTGGTTGAATTGCAGTTGTCACTAATCACTTCCACTTCCCTAAAACTCCAATAACAGTTCACTGTGGAACATTGGGTAGCAAAGAAATTATGACTGGACTCACTGCACAGTTGGCATCCTATCATTTTACCTTGCTGGGATTCATTTAGCAGTTCTGAAAGCAACCTATTTTTTAACAAATGTTTGTAGAATCAGTCTGAACGAAGAGCTGCTGAATTTCATATGTATGTGGCTAAGAAACTGACTGGAGCACATCAATCCAAATCATTTGGACTGATGAGCAAAAATTATTACCAATTTTCTGTATAAAAACGAATAAAACACTGACATGATTTCTATCCTCATTTTCAGAACATCTCGCTGTTTTGAAAATTTGTAATGTACGAATCTTACCAGGTACAGAAAAAAAAACCAAAAAACAAACTGATGTGTGACTGACTAAAACCAAATTAGGTGACTTAAAATTGACCTTGACTGAATACAGGACAAATGTTCCGTCAGATCACATTGCTTCAGATTAAACTAATCTAAAGTTCACTGTAAGATGTTCCTTGTATCTGTATTTATTATACACATATGAATCCATTTTATAATCTGTGTGCCTAACTGATACTGATATATTTCCAGACATTCACAGCAAGCATTGATCAGAATATGCTTACAACAGAAGGCGATATCTGATGTTTTTGGAATTTGAATTGAGTAAATTTAGTATGAATTATAAAGGGTAACTAACTAAAAAGAATTTGCAGGAAAAAAAAATACTCTCAATAAAAGAAACTTGCAATATATAACTGAATAGTAACGATTTTGTCTAAGGCTGTCTCTCTACTAGATGGGCCTGCAGCAGTCCCTGTGGCAGAGGACTTGAGAAGATAACAGGAAGGCAGGTCAGACTCCAAGAGAAGTTCTGCACTCCAATTAAATCGGAACAAATTGGCTCAGCCAGGTGAGAGCCCTTTGAGAGACCATTACTCTGAAAAGGAGGATTTTAGCATTCTACTTTTTTATTTTTGAATAAAATAAGGCATGCAGTATGTTAAGAGAAATGAGCTGCACGTTTTGCAACAGTTGTTTTTTTTACTGGCTATTTACCTCATTTCTGCATATTTCCATGTGCAAGTTTCGCTAAATACATGTTGATGGGAGCAAATTAAACCTTAAAATTTAAATGCAACGTATTGCCATTATCCTTTCAGTTAGGATTCTAAACATAATTTAAAACTTTGGTTGTTTGAATAAATATCTATCCACATATCAGGCCTAACTTAAGAGAAACAAGGATGAATCCCACTGTCTGTGACACCCTCGATCTATTTTTGTGAAGCTAGTGGGACAACAAATTGTTTATTTAGGTTTTTTTTTTCATTTTTTTTACATTAAAAGTGCAACTATGTTGTCATGATTTGCTTTTTAATTAAATTAAATTAAATTAAATTAAATTAAATTTCTATGTTAGCTTTATTTTGTTACGCAATCTGAGTAACAGAAAGTTTTTTTTCAATGAAAATGCAATGTTTCTTATGGAAGCCCGTTTCCGCCACTCTGTTAAAAAAATTAAATAAAATTATCTCATTATAATGAGATAGTATCTCAAAATAATGAGATAGTATCTCATTATAATGAGATAGTATCTCAAAATTATGAGATACTATCTCAAAATAATGAGATAGTATTTCAAAATAATGAGATACTATCTCAATATAATGAGATAGTATCTCAATATAATGAGATAGTATCTCAATATAATGAGATAGTATCTCAATATAATGAGATAGTATCTCAAAATAATGAGATAGTATCTCAATATAATGAGATAGTATCTCAATATAATGAGATAGTATCTCAAAATAATGAGATAGTATCTCAATATAATGAGATAGTATCTCAATATAATGAGATAGTATCTCATTATATTGAGATAGTATCTCAATATAATGAGATAGTATCTCAAAATAATGAGATAGTATCTCAATATAATGAGATAGTATCTCAATATAATGAGATAGTATCTCATTATAATGAGATAGTATCTCAATATAATGAGATAGTATCTCAAAATAATGAGATAGTATCTCATTATAATGAGATAGTATCTCATTATAATGAGATAGTATCTCAAAATAATTAAATAGTATCTCAAAATAATGAGATAGTATTTCAAAATAATGAGATAGTATCTCATTATAATGAGATAGGAGACTGTGGAGGTTGAACCCCCTTTCGAATTGGTTCAGTCCACCTGGGCCGATTTGACGGTACCATCGGTCGCGCCTGCCGCCTGAAATCACCTAGCTAAATGTAGCTATTTACAACGGTAAGAATTGTGGTTTTGTTAATTTAAATTAAGTCTGCAATATAAGCTAGCATAGTATAAAGTAATCAATTTGTTATACTGACGACGGTAGCTAATTTTGAAGACATCAAAATTAGCTACCGGTTTCTGTTTCTTCACTTCGTCAGTGCACAACTGACTTTTCGTTGATTGTAGTTAATATCTGAGGATTACGTGGTACGTTTATTTGCTGTAATGATACATGTTCAGTCTACCACAAAGTGTAATAACTGGTGAGTAGTTCCTAGATGCTGCATCACGCTCCCAAACCATTGCGACGCCAAAACGATACCTCTAGCCTATGTATTTTTTTAAGTTAAACTAAAATATGTCGTGGCATTTTATGTCACGTACTCTGTCAGAATCTCTCTCTTTTATTAAATTTTAAATACTTTATGTACCTGGTCCCCAAGCAAATAAATAAAATAATAAATAATTGTTTTGTCTGTTTGCAAATCAATTTCTTTGATTTAATCAGTAAGTTCAAGTAACAAACAAAACATTATGTGCTTGGTTTTGTACAGTGCAGGTTGTTTCAGAAAGAGAAGAGTGGATGGTGTGCACCAGCTGGATTTTCACAAGCCTTAACTCATCACACAAGCGGTATAAGTGACTTCTCTGCTATAGTGTGTTTCTCCAGTTCTCCATTGAAAGACCTTTATGCTCCTCAGACAGCTTCATTTTATGTTTTCTTTCCTTTTCTACTGCTAAAGACATTGTCAGTATGGAACGGTACAGTTCTTTGTTATTACCAATAAATATTTTCTTATCTTTTCTGTGAATTTAAAGAGGTTTCTCAAGATGTGTCCATTTAAACCACTGTATATGCATAAATTTGTGTAATTACACAAATAAAATAACTGTGGTAATAGTTATTATAAAACAAAAGTTTAAAAAGATGCATTCCATTTTCTGTTCACCCTTGTCCCTATTGGGGTTGGGAGTTGCTGCTGCCTCTCCAGCTTCGTTCCAGACGAGAGGTGGGGTCACCTGGACAGGTTGCCAGTCTGTCACAGGGCAACATAGAAACAAACAGGACAAACAACCATGCACACACACACTCACACCTAGGGAGAATTTGGAAAGACCAATTACCCTGACAGTCATGTTTTTGGACAGTGGGAGGAAGCTGGAGTACCCGGGGAGAACCCACCATGCACAGGGAGAACATGCAAACTCCGTGCAGAAAGACCCCGGGCAGGGAATCGAACCTATGACCTTCTTGCTGCAAGGCAACAGTGCTAGTAACTGCACCACTGTGCAGGCCCCCTAGTAAAATCATTTCACAAAAAAATAAATAAATTGCGCTTAAAGGAATTATGAATGTCCCGGCCCGGGGTCTTTCTGCATGGAGCCTGCATGTTCTGTGCATGTGTGGGTTCTCTCCGGGTTCTCCAGCTTCCTCCCACAGTCCAAAAACATGACTGTCAGGGTAATTGGTCTTTCCAAATTCTCCCTAGGTGTGAGTGTGTGTGTGCATAATTGTTTGTCCTGTCTTTCTCTGTGTTGCCATGCGACAGACTGGCAACCTGTCCAGGGTGACCCCGCCTCTCGCCCAGAACGCAGCTAGAGATAGGCACCAGCACCTCCCAACCGCACTAGGGACAATGGTGTTAGAAAATGGATGGATAAATGGCATTATGAATTATAATTAATTTTTCAGGAAAATTATAATTTGTAGTATGACTTGCTTTACATTTTATTGGAAACATGATGGTCTTGTGTATCTTCACCTTCCAGTGTATGATCACAGAATGGATGACCTGAGTGATTTCCTGAGACAAAGAATTATTCCTGAGGAAACTATTGAGACCATGCTGAGAGAGAAGGTACAAGCTAAAAAATAAATCAGTATTTCAAAAATTACAGTTTGTTTAAGGCATGTGTCTAGCAATGTTATATAATTGAATTCAAATAATTTGCATGCAATTCTAGTTCCATAAGTTTTAAAATAAATTATTTTTTATTCTTCTTGTTTAGATTGATAGCAGTGTCATCCAACTCATGACAGATGAAGAGCTAAAGAGTTATTTGCCATCATATGGAGACCGCATCGCCCTATTAGGATACTGTAAAAGGAAGGAAACTGGTCCCCCAAACAGTCGCAAATCAAAACTGTTTGAGCGCCTGAAATCAAAGCTGGGTAAAAGGAAAACTGCCAGATGGAACTCCTGAGATGGGATATGATGACGGAGGAGTCGTCAGAGACTGTCTTTCTGAATTCTGGAAAGAATTCTATGACCAATGTACTACAGGAAACACTTACAGAGTGCCTTTTCTGAGACATGATTATGGACAGAGCCAGTGGGAGAGTGTAGGCCGAATAATTGTTTTTGGATGGACAAGAGAGAAATATCTTCCTATGAAGATTGCACCTGTCATACTAGAGCAAGCAGCCTTTGGACAGGTAAAAAGTGATGTAGTGGAGAATTTCCTTAAGTGCATGCCTGAATCTGAGCGCTTTGTGTTTCAGTCATGGCAGTCAGACTTCAGCAGTGTTGACCAAGAGGAATTGATAGAGATTCTTGATAACTACAGTTGCAGACGAATGCCAACTGCCAGCAACGTAAATGAAATCCTCCAGGAGCTTGCACACAAAACACTTGTCCAAGAGCCTGCTTATGTTATTGAACAGTGGGCCAAAACACTCAGTAACACCGGGAACAGCTTCCAGGATCTTTCTTCAGTGTATGAAAACTTACAACCAAATGCAAGAAAAGTTTTGAAGTCCATTGTCTTTCCTCAGGAAATGAGTGGTCATCAGAAGGACATTCAAAAGTATGTTAGCACATATATCAGGAACGCAGATTTGCAGCATCTGTCCTTGTTTCTAAGGTTCTGCACAGGTTCAGACCTGTTCTTGGATAAGAAAATTCTTATTGATTTTACAAAGATTCAAGGGTTTCTCAGAAGACCTGTGGCTCACACATGTAGCTGTGTCCTCGAGCTGTCAATCTATTATGATAGCTATCCAGATTTCAGTGCTGAAATGAACAAGGTTTTGGACTCTAATGTATGGGTCATGGACATTATTTAAAGATTTTAAAGTGATGGAGGAAGAGGAAAAAAAAAGAGATTAAGGTGGCTATTTAAAGTAACAAGTTGCCTATCAAAATCTAAGTAGATGTTTTCCCCCAAAATTTCCTTATCAGAATTTAAGGTTTTACAGATAACAATTTACCAGGGTGATGTTACCATTCCCAAATTTCTACAGATGTTATAAAAAGGGATCACTTATTTGTGAGAGGTGAATGTTTGTTTGTGCAGCACAGCTGTTGGTTTGTTTAAGGGTAGATTGTCAAAACTCTACCATATATGCACAAGTTTTGCAAATTCAGATCTGTTAACTGTCAGTGGAATGTCAAAATAATGGATTTTTCTTTGTTGAAAGAATACAAAATAAATATATTTTGAATAAAGTGTAGGGTCTGTTTATATTTTGCTGTTGCACTGTAAACATATTTATTGGCCATAATACTGAAAAACATATATACGGTACAGACCAAAAATTTGGACACAACCTGCAAGAAAGCTCATTTACTAACCTGACAGGTCACACCTGTGAGGTGAAAACCATTTCAGGTGATGACCTCTTGAAGCTTATCAAGAGGTCGTCTGTGATTACTGTGATTTGCATTAATCATATTTACCTTTTGCAGTAATCACAGCAAAAGGTTGCTACTTTTGAAGAAACTACAATATAAGGCGCTTTTTCAGTTGGTTTACACTTTTTTGGTTTACAAGAAGTAAATTTATAGTACCTGTATTGTTTGTAAGAAGCAAAACTGGATCAGTGATTTGTCCAGAAAACTGTCAACAAAATAGCCATCAGCTTTAAGCTGGTCGAAATGTTCCATCCAAAACTGGGTACATTCACTTCTTAAAGTGCACCACCATCGCTCTATCCTTTGATTTCCTGTACTCGGACCGAGAATAACAGAGTCAAAACCATTTTCATTCTCGGTGTTGTGCAGAAATCTTTGCATCGCTGCCGCATAAGTGTTCTCTGTGCCATGATCCATTCGTATCTTTTGAGGAAATCCATTATACTCCATCACAGCGTCAATGAAATAGCCAGCAATAATGTGAGGATCACTATTAGTCTTATATGCTTCGAGCCAGATCATTTTCCTTGAAAAGCCATCTATGCATCCATTAATACATATCCCATAAGGCTTTAATTTATCGTACCCATCGATGTGCCAGACATAGTTTGGTCCCCGACTGACATATAAGCGTCGTCTCAAGCGATTTTGTGCACGCAGGTCAACCCCGTTGGGATCCAATAGGCGCATCAAAAGACGTACTGTTTCTCTGTCTGTGACTATGCCAGCCATCCAACATTTCTGGTGCATCCAACTGTAGCCGTGCTGTCTCCCAGATCCTTGTAGTTGATGCTCTATAAAAGAGGCCACTTCTGCAACATCTGTCTTATTTTTTCTACGCCAAAGACGCTTCTTTTGCAGTCTTCTCTCCAGCGTCCGGAGACTTAATTTGACATTATGGGTTTCTTCCAAAACTCCCAAAATTTCAAGATTAGTAAAACCACTTCTGAAGTATTGCTCAATGATGTTATCAATATCCATTTCTTTCTATCAAGCTGAGTATATTTCAAACTATAGGGCCAACTCAAGTTATCTCATTATAATGAGATACTATCTCATTATAATGAGATACTATCTCATTATTTTGAGATACTATCTCATTATAATGAGATACTATCTCATTATTTTGAGATGCTATCTCATTATAATGAGATACTATCTCATTATTTTGAGATACTATCTCATTATAATGAGATACTTTCTCATTATTTTGAGATACTATCTCATTATAATGAGATACTATCTCATTATAATGAGATGCTACCTCATTATAATGAGATACTATCTCATTATAATGAGATATTATCTCATTATAATGAGATAGTATCTCATTATTTTGAGAAACTATCTCATTATAATGAGATACTATCTCATTATTTTGAGATACTATCTCATTATAATGAGATACTATCTCATTATTTTGAGATACTATCTCATTATAATGAGATACTATCTCATTATTTTGAGATACTATCTCATTATAATGAGATACTATCTCATTATAATGAGATACTATCTCAAAATAATGAGATAGTATCTCATTATAATGAGATACTATCTCATTATTTTGAGATACTATCTCATTATAATGAGATACTATCTCATTATTTTGAGATACTATCTCATTATAATGAGATACTATCTCATTATAATGAGATACTATCTCATTATTTTGAGATACTATCTCATTATAATGAGATAATTTTATTTAATTTTTTTAACAGAGTGGCGGAAACGGGCTTCCATAGTTTCTCACTCTAAATGTACATAAACATGGGTGGATTTTACTACATGTATTCCTATAATTTAAATATGGACAGTCTTTGAGGTGAGATGCTATTTGGTTTGGTAGAGCTATTTTAGGAGTTCTCTACATTCAGAATTAATGATGAGCAAATATAGTTTTACATCCATTTAGTACCCGTAAAGTAGCTGTGAATTTGCCCGACAGTGCGTTGAAATACAACACGATTCATAATTCATATTAATTAATCATGCAGGTTGTAAACACAGAAAAAGTCACAGTCTGAGTAATGTTCAAAACATTGTGCCATAGAGCCAATTTCTTCACAAAATTATGAGTTTGGACCTTTGGCATAAAAGCTGGTAGGTGGTACACGATAGGAGGACTTGTTTTTTTCCTGTTGCTTACAACAAATTTAGATAAACCATCTGGTGTTGGTACCTAACCATGGACTCCTTGCACATTTGGACCAGTCATACCACCAACATATGCTTCTGCCTCAGCGTCTGGCAGCCACACACCCATCACTGGGATGGGATCTGACATCACTCCACTGCTCAGGTGTTAACTTGTAACTTCAATCAATGGCACAAGGTGGTCTAATCAGCCAATATGGCAACTTGAAAAGAAAACTAATCAAAATTACAAAGTGAATATTTTGTTAATCCAAATCCCCTGTTTTCAGACAGTAAGACCTTCTTCCTGATCACATCACTAATTCTACATTTTGAATTCGATCACAGGTTTGGTTTAAACTTAAATTTGATTTACAGAGTTTTCCATTCGACCTCACAGGATGTTAGATATTTTGCAAAGAAGAATGAGCAAAATGTCTTCTCCGTTTACCTGCAAAACTCGTAAAGAGAAAACCCAGAAGAATTGAATCTGTAACAGCGTCAAACGTTGGTTCTGTAAAGTACTGACTAATCAGGACTGCTTCGAGTGGTAAAGCTGAGATGCTTTGAACGTGTGAAGAGGAAGACACGGGATATATTGGACAATAGATATTAATAATTAAGCTCCCAACAAAAAGGGGAAAAAAATCTGAGAAAGACCACATTATTTATACCTCCCAGCTTCTACTGACTGGATAAGCTGGGAGGAGAACTGACTGCAACCACAAAGCATGTGTTGCAAAAGTTTCATCATCTGTACACACAGCTAGGGTTCACTTGTAAACTAAGTAAAACTTCATTTAAATAGCTGGTTCCACGAACAAAAGGCCCCAGATTGCTTCACATAATAAAGTATGCAACAACAACAAATACAGAAGAACAAACCAAAACAAACATTCATGAAAACTCAAGTTCAGACAAAAGCTTATTGGATGCAAAATATCTTCAGCTGCTTGTTAAAACCTCCCCAGTCCATCTGGCATAAAAATAAAGATGGTGCATATCAAAGTCTGGAGGCTACTGTTTGGAAAGATTGGTGTCCTAAAGCAGCCATTAAAAGTGGCAGCCATTAAAATGTTCTGATTAGATTACCTCCAACGATGAGATGAGTTGATGCTGCATCAATCAAGAACATAAGAGAGTAAGTATTACTTTAAAGCTGTGAAGGTTAAGACCAAGATTTCAATAGCAGAGGTGCAAATTCTGTGCAACAACTTAAGTACCAGTTTCAGACACAAACGCAGCTTTGTGTTACTGTGGTTCCTGAGGCAAAATATTTAAGTCGGGGAAAATGTAAAAACAAGACAAGGATTGCTTGTGATGTTTTTTGTCTTCTGTTAATCCTCTGGAACTGGACGTTAGCATGGCTCAAGCAGCTCACATTCGCAGATGCGGATAGGTATGTTGTGGTCTTAAGGGTTAATGGATGTAGTAATGGAGAACATGCAGAGCGCTGTTGAGCACAAAGGGTAAGAATCTTGTCAGAGAGATATATCTGTGAAAACCAAGAAATCTCTTTACCAGACAAACGATGGAAAATTAGAGAGAGAGAGAGAGAGAGAGAAAAAACTGAGCAAAAAACAGAAGCAGCTTGACGACTAAGGGGTGTGTGGGCAGACGTAAAAGTGCTGAACACAAGCCCACGCCACCTTGGTCCTTCCAGGGTTTTTGCTAGACAGGAAGATGGATGGGCCCAACTCTAATAATAACTACACTCCACTTACCATGGCGCCAAAACTGCTAACATTGCAGCTGCCCCCTGATGCTACCTAAAACAACCACCTCCCACAATGTCGCCCACTTTGCTCCTGATGGGAACATTCTGTTTGGCAACACAGCGGTCGTGTGCTGGAAATCTCCACACCATCAACTCTTTTACCCACTAAGTTAAATAAATTTGAATGACACAGGTTGCTTTCTCTGATCTAGTCTTGTGGTACTGACAAGTCTGTACTCTGAATGTGAGTCTGGGTAGAAGAAAGTGGAGTGGGGTGGAAATTAAACTGTTCTTGCTTAAAGAAACCAGAGTAGAATATGGCAGAATATAAGTAGAAGCATGGATACGGAGGCAATCTGAAGAAAAAAAAAATATATATATATATACAAAACACACAGAGAGGTGGTGAAAAAAAAAGCTTTTTTTAAATATGCAGAGGCATCAGTAAAGGAGTACCATTGTTCCTAATGAGGTGTGACAGCCCAGTATAAACTGGAATATGAAGTGAACCATGATTACAGAGGATTAGATAACAACCACTATGCAGCACAGTTAGAAAGCTTTTCAGGCCTGGCCTTGTTTTCTGCTTCTCTTTCTCTGTGTGTAAATCCTCTGAGTGCTGCATTTCTGCTCACGCATAAAAATATACATGTGTGGAGGAGAGACAGGGGGAGCACGAGAAAACGGGTTGTATATAAGTGACTCCTCTGCCACTACAAGGAGCGAGGGCAGCAAATACACTGGAGATAGCCGTAAGGTCAGCTCCGCCTTCACAGTGTTACAGGCTATGATATGCAAACATGCCTGACAGAAGGTGCTTCATCACACAGCAGCAGCTTGAAGTCTTT